CCCCAAAACCCCAAAACCCCAAAACCCCAAAACCCCTCATGACTAAAAATCATTTGAAATAAAATTTTATAAAGCCTCGATCCTAAATTTGTGTAAAATGAGCAATTATGCGCCAAATTATGTTTAACCCTTAAGCAGGTTTGTTTTGGAAATGTAAGGTTTAGACATAATCCTTTTCCCGAAAGGACTCTTTATAGATGAGTGGCTCCCCAAGACTCCTAATCTTGATTTTGTAAACAGTGAAGGCGATTTTGGCTTGATGAAAATTGAATAGTTGAGTCTTCTCTCTTTTGAAGATGGAGGTCTAAGAGAAAGTTAGAAACATTGGGTATTTTAACCAAAAGTCTTCACAACATATCTCAAATTCTCTCTATAAATACCCAAAATATTCCAGTGAGAGATATAGAAGTTACATTCCCTAAGTCAAGTTCTCAGAGCTATTGGCTTATAAAGCACAAATTTCCCTTGCACCTAACTCGGCTTGAGTTATACCTTACTTTGATAAGTTCTTCGAGCTGCCCTTTCCGGAAGGAATAATTTTTGTAGCGTTGTATTTGTGGTCCAAATCCAGAGTACATTTCTTCGGCTTCTTCTGTTGTGTAGAAGTTTGATACTTAGTATTATTCAACTGTACAGAGACCTCTTTGATTCCTTTGACAGGATTTTTATACCTCCTTTCAGAGCTGCATTGGCTAAAAATTAATGTGAATAGTACAGATAAGACCTCTTCTGAAGCATTCAGGTCTTTGTAGCGCTCGGCTTGCTCCCAAACATCTTCTTGTAGAATCGTAATTTATTGTTCTTATCATCACTGAACTTAAACTTTGTGCTCTCAAGATATGAAGGTATCATTACACGATGTGGTGAAATTTGAGATTCTGTTTTGTAAGATGCCTCGTCGTTGAGATCAATCTTTGTAGTTCCAGGAAAAGAGCTCATATTTCTTCTGTGAAAGACTGTAGAGTATGGGGTCTTAGAAACTGGCTTAATTAATCTAGAGCCTAGTTCTTCTGGAATAGTTGTCGTCTAAATTGTGCATGTGAGTTTAATTTTAAGGGAAATGGAATCGAAGAAACTCAAAAGAAATTAAAATTGAAGTATAAGGCAAATCTTACCAAACTAAGGCTTGGTTCATTGTCTAGCTTTTTGATTTCTCCTTCTCCATCCTTCTTTCACTGCTTATTGATGATCTCGTTATTGAGGACGTTCAATAAATTTGTCTTCCTTGGGCACTCATCCTTTAAGTTTCAAGACTTGAAAGGCTTATCTAAAATGGTTTCTTGCACAGCTCTTTCTGCTTCTAAGAACATCTTTAGTTCATCTTCTTCGTGATCAGGCACTATTGTCTTCGAGTTCTCTAGATTTTTTTTCCTAAATTTCACTATTGGGCTACTATTGTGAGATAATCGCTTATGAGTCGGTGTGGTATCATTAGTTCCACAGTATGAACTTTGGGTATTATTCTTCTTGATCCTTTTTCCAGCAGTTGATTGGACCTTATATGGGAGATCTTTCCCATTACTGAGTGTTAAGGTAACCCTTTCCACATCTTTTACAAAGCTTCCATAAATCTTGCTCTTTTTAGCTGTCTTGGGCTTAAAGGTATGCTTTGTTTTCTGATGGTTATTTTGGGCCTTTAGAAGCCTCAAATCTTGTTTAAGCTGTTGCACTTGGCTTTTTAGGATCTCATTTTCTATGCTTAGAGACTGATTGGCTTTCTCCAAGTCTTGACATTTTCTGCAAGTATTTCCCAATTTATGAAGATTCTCATCTACGCTTAGAAAGGAATCTTGGAATTTTATTTCAAAATCAGCGTTTCGGTAGCTTAGACATAATTTCTCAGTTTTAACCAACAAGGGGTTACTAGGTCTGCACCTAAAGAACTCTGCTACTTTTATCTTCTGAAGTCACCTCCGAGTTTTATCCTTGTAAACTTCAATGTTCACTGAAGGTGAAGGGTCAATTTTTATGAAATATTGCAGCATTCCGATAATTATCTGGAGCTTTGTTATCCCAGAAATTGAGATTCAGACTCCTTTTGGTCCTTGTCTCTTCAGAAAAAGAGGTACTGGCTTCCTTTCTCTCTTAGCCAAGTTAATTGTTCTACCCATTAAATGATTTGGCGATATATATATTAATTCTCAAAATAGTTCGCATTTTTAGGGGTTTTGGGGTTTTGGGGTTTTGGGGTTTTGGGG